CATGCCAATCCCTCCGAGAGTTGTCATGACAGAACTACCCTTAAACATACCCGGGTATGTCACATAACCTGCTTTCTGGAATACCCCCCAGTTTGAGAGTGTGATTACCATGTCCAGCTCCTCTCGCAGCGCACAGATGGCTCTCTCCTTACTGGACACCAGCTCCTCCAGATACTGGTAGCGCAGCTTCTTCCTGGCGCGACACTCTCTGGCGCTCTGCCGGCTTCGCTCCAGCTTGGCCTTCAGGTCGATCTTGGCAGGTTTGCGGCCGCGTTTGCCGGGTTTCTTCACTTTTCCAGCAACCATCTACAGATCAGAAGAGACTTTACGGTCAAACACTCGTGTGGTGATCATGCCACATAAATAAACAACACGATATAAGTGCTGTAAACAAAAGACAAAATTACAGGTTGGCTTATAAATTTATGTTATTTCATAATTGATACATTTTACAATACTGACACTGGTATTGATCTCAATTGAGCTGAACAATGACTCTATTTTCCTCTGTAGAGCTGCTTTACAGACTAAACATTAATTAATTTCCTAATTTATGAATTCTACAATGTTGTTTTCCTGTTTTATTGAGCTAAATTCAAACAAAACTGAACGGAATTGATCTGAATAATGACATTGTTGTCTTTTGTAGAGCTGCTTCACGGCTGAAATTGTCTCATAACTGAATAATTTTACAACGTTAACACTATTATTTTCCTGTTTATTAATGTGAAGCTGCTTTGAAAGAATCTGTATTGTGTATAAATAAATGTAAGTTGACTTAATAAACATTGCATAAGTATTTTGGCGGAACCATTGTAAAATAATGGTATCAGAATTGATTACCATGGTATTTTCACATATACCACGATTCAATTATATTAATATGCTAAGCTATCCTTACTCCGAGGTATTTCACAGAATGTCATGGCACATGTACATTAATCATGCTATTACAATAGTTGTTTTAGTTGTTGGAGAAGTGAAATCACATGAATCTAGCTGATCATGAGCTTTAGTGCTGTAAGTCAACGGGATGCTCATATATGTTCTTATGACGCACTTTATTGTGATCCATCGCGTGTTTTCCAATCGCCGCGAGTCTGCAGTCGCGCGCTGATCCTCGATCATTCACCTGTAATCGATCAGAGAGTCCGATTGAGATGATTTTTGATCAATCTTCCAGTGGAGCTGCCTGTGTTTTTAGCCGAATGCTAACAGCGCTCTTCCGGTTCTGGCGCGGGTGACGCCCACCGCGCTGCATGCTGGGACCTGTAGTTTCTTCCCGATGGCAAGAATGAACCATTCTAGAAAGATCCACCAGTTTACAAACACACACACACAATACATATTTATATACACAACACCAATATAATAACTCACTGGAAGCAACATTAAATGTGTGTTATATCACATGGGATAGACTAATGACACAAAAACAAAGGGTAATGCCACTGTAGGCCTACTGTTTTAAGTTTTAGTATGTGCTTTGTTGTCATGTATGACCACAGTATGTTGTGAAGGTGTGTGTGTGTGTGTGTGTGTGTGTCAAACACCTGCTGCTGCTGACACACACATGCTTATATATGTGGTTTACGATGATATTCCATAATGGTTTTTATACTGTACAAAACCCTACACCTAAACCTACCCCAAGAGCTGGGTAGATTACTTACAAATTGTAATCTGATACTGATTCCAAATTACGTGACAAAATATGAAGTTAGTAACGTAATCCATTACATTACACATTTTAGGTAATATAATCAGACTACTTTTGGATTACTTTTAGATTACTTTTGAGTTTTGACCTAACTAAAAATACTAAATAGGATAATCTTGTACCATACTGATATAAAAATACAAAGAGTAAGAAAATATGATGACAACATGAAGTGCATCAAGCATTAGATTATGTTAAGGTCTCTCAAACAGGTTCATAAAGGAACTGCACGGGGTTTGTGAGTTTAATGAAAAGCTAATTCAGACTACTTTTGGATTACTTTTAGATTACTTTTGAGTTTTGACCTAACTAAAAATACTAAATAGGATAATCTTGTACCATACTGATATAAAAATACAAAGAGTAAGAAAATATGATGACAACATGAAGTGCATCAAGCATTAGATTATGTTAAGGTCTCTCAAACAGGTTCATAAAGGAACTGCACGGGGTTTGTGAGTTTAATGAAAAGCTAATAATTATTTAGATCATAAAAATGTAATATCAAAGTAAACCATTTTAAATAACATGAATCAAAATAAAACGCTTACTAAAAAGTGAAATATTTAGTTTATCTGCATGTCATGTGACCATTAACCAAGAGAACTGTGAACATGCAAATGTGATACTTAATTATTAAAATAGTTATTTTAAAATCTCAGGGCTATTCAAGTAAATATATTAGGTGAAAGAGGTTCAGATGACAAAATGTTTTGGGAATGCCTGTATAAGAAATAATGTGAAGTTGTGCATTTTAATGTGTTTGGAAGACAAAAACATTTCAAAGACATATACATGGTTAAATAAGCTACTGACTGAGTGATGATTCAAATAAACATTAATGTGTTCATGATGCAATGTTGAAACACGTCTTAATTATTTCACTTATTTTAGAAAGGAACATTTAAAAGATGAAACAGGGAGAATCAGTAAATTATGAATAATGTATTGCTGTTGTGTGAATAATATGTAATCATGTAATCAATAAAAAGTAACTGTAGTTTGATTACTTATGAGTATTTTATGACTATACACAATGTATGCATACATCTTATTTTAAAATTGTCATGCTTGTCATGATGCCACAACAGCGCTGTATAGCTGATGTAGGCAATGTTTTATTTATTTTTTCCTTTTTATTCGAAATATTGGGAATATACCCATATACTAATAACGTGTTAACTATATCATGAAATATCTCGATTCTCAAATATGTGTAAGTACATGCATTTTGCATCTTTATAGATCATGTTAGTTGATTTATAACGGGCGATGGGCAAAGTAGCCTAATGTTATTGTAATCTATTAACTAAGCATAAAATCCATCTTTTTACTTAAAGCTGCAGTCCGTAACTTTCGGCGCTCTAGCGGTTAATAAACAGAACTGCGTGCGTCTTGCGGAAGAACATTGTAGCCGGAGCTACTTCTCTCTGTTTATGTCTATGGCGAATCACGCAGGTACTGGGCTCCTCCGCAGCGGTACCTACCCGAACCAGTCTAAATAGTCCGAATATAAACACTTATTATAGGTGTACCGTAGTAATTCAGGACGAGCCAAAAACACGGTTTGGAAATTGGATTGATGGTGTACTCGCTTATTATATAAATTTAGTAAATTATGAACACAAAAAAGTTACGGACTGCAGCTTTAAGGACCAGATATTGGTGTCATGCCTTAAAATATTTTTAATACGACTGGCTTTGTATTTAATGTGAATTTAATAAAAACACTGTAAGTTACTAATTATAACACTTTCATTGGAAGAGAGCAAAGAACATGATCCTTGACTTCAGTCTAGTCAGTCCTTGATTCTGATTGGCTGAGCCGTGTTCGAAGCTGTTGTAAATTACTCTACAAACACACACCTTTGTTTACTTCTGTGTGATGCTTAGGAACTACATTGTTTGGTGGAAGAATACTATTTTTATTTATATCATTACACTTTATTTGCTCTGTTTTATTTTGTGTAACCTTACTACGTATATGGAATAACCGCTTTATAAAAGCAATAAGCCCCGTGAAGCCGTGGTTTACAGTGAATTTATAACTGCTAAGGGGCGTTGTTACGACGCAAAACGGAGTGCCTAAAAACCCCTTAGCTGTTATAAATTCACTGTAAACCATGGCTTCTTGAGGCTTATTGCTTTAATCACACCGGTGTGATCATATCAAATATAAAAAATATTATTCGGCTATTTTTTGTCTTTTGGAAGCTGCATTCAAAATCCACTTGGCTCAAAAATCTGAGGAAAAAATCATTTACCCAGCTCTGCCTACCCCTCACACAAAACTTTCTTCATTTTTAGATTTTCAAAAAACTGAATTCTGTATGATTTATAAGCTTGTTTCCTCATGGGGACCAAAAAATGTCCCCACAAGGTCAAAATGTACTGGTATTGCTATACTTGTGAGGACCCTATAACGTAGCCTATACCTTAGGCTACACACACACACACACACACACACACATATATGTTGGTTTTTATGGTATGACCTACACCTAAACCTACCCCTCACAGAAAACTTTGTGCATTTTTAGATTTAAAAAAAAACTCATTTTGTATGATTTATAAGCCTTTTGAATTACGGGGACACTGAAAGTGTCCTCATAAATCACCTTCATATTGTAATACCCATGTCATTATACAAATTTGTGTATAAATAAACCACATAAACACACACACACACACACACACACACACACAGACACACACACACATACTCACACACAGACACGGACACACACATACACACACTCACACACACACACACACACACAGGGGGCCATCAGGGGACACTGGCCCCAAAGAGGACATCAAGAATTTGTCTAATGTCTCTATTAAATCACCCAAAAGAGTCAGTTAATGATTTTCAGTTAATGTGGAAGTGTGTAACTCGTAATAAAGCGTGTGTGAGTAAAATTAATGTAGTTCTGCTGCTGATTGTGTAATGAGAGTTTATGAGCGACTGAAGCTCCGCCTCATAAACTAATTTACACTGTTTTTTACACTCATTTACACCTTCAGAGTCAGTGTGAAGAGCGGCTTTCTGTCCTCGTTAGCGGATCTGCGGCTTTATTCTCTGGGTTTTAGCGCAGTTTGTTGAGTGTGTTTGAGGCCGGCGTGAGTTTCAGTGACGCCATGATGTTATTTTTACCCGATGAGCTCACGAGCGCCGAGCTCACTCACACTTCACCAGCGGCGAGTGACTAGCTTTAACTAGCCTAACTACCCACCCGCCCATCTCTACCGGGGTTACCACTCGTCTGGTCATCTTTATCTGTGGATTTACTGTAAAATGAGACGGACTGAAACTTTCATGGTGAGTTTCGGACATGAGTTAAATGAGAAATAGATCGCGGAGGGCCGCTGTGTGTGTGTGTGTGTGTGTGTGTGTGGAGACACGATGTTCTTGTTAGTTTCGTTTACTTAGTAAACTTGGTTAAAATGACTTTAAAGTTCTGGAAAGTTCCGTTTGCTGTACGTTAGTGTGTGTTTAGCTGAAGTTTTATAGAGTTTATGTTTCATCTTTACTTTGCTGTCATTAAATACGGTACATTACATGACACACATCTACAAAAACACTGAAAACACTCTTGTTCTTCTCAAAATGTTCTTTAGAGTAAAATACTGTGATGGTATCGTATAGACTATGATACTGAATGATTATCACATTTGTGTACCGTTTACACTATACTTAAGAGAATACTATAGTATCACCATAGTATATTCTGTTCTCACTTATATAACTACCATAATATCATGGATCAGTCACTTTGGATAAAATGTATGCTAAATGAATACATGTAATCCGTCTATTTCAGGGTTGTTATAATTAACTAAAATTAAAACCATAAAATACCCTTTTGTTGCTTTAAATGAAAAAAAAAAGTTAACTGAAGTACAATACAATATAAAAAACGTAAACTTATTTTATTTCAGCTAGTTGCCAAAGGCAACATTTCTCATTTCCCTAAAATAACAAACTAAAACTGAAAGAAAAATTATATAGACATATATAAAAATAAGTAAAACTGAAAAAAAAAAACACAACAACATTACTAAAACTTTAACTACAATTAACATGAAATCATAAAGTATAAAAAAAAATATTAACCAAAACTGTAATAGGACCTCAATAATACAAAAAATAACACTGATCAAAATAACCATGGTATTACAAACATATCTTTCTGAAAAAAACAAAACATGGTAATACCATGGTACTGTTATTGTCTGTTTTCAGTGTGTGACGGTCACATGATCACGTCTCTCATTTCAGGATATTTCTGAAAGGGAAGTTCAGCATGTTTATTCACCAGCGGCATCATAAAAATCACCTGTGGAGGAACAGAAAGCGCTTATGGTGTTGTTGTGTGACTGTTTCTATGTAACAAATACAAACTCAGAGTAAACATGGATGGCATGTGTTATGAAGGGTCACTACCTGCACTAAAACATAATTTCTTTTATTGAAATAAATACATTCGGCTCTGTTCACTACCAAACAAGAAGAGTACAAATCAAGCCAAAGATGGGTTTGGGTTTGTGTGTTTATATGTTTAAGCGAGTCTGAAGGTTTGGAGTGACGTTTCAGATGTCCATATGAAGGGTCAGTCAGTGTGATGTTGTGCTGTGAGCGTCTGAGGAGGAAGTCGGTCTGCTAATCGCGGCCTGGCATCGCTCCAGGGGTGTGAACTTCCTAAAATTAACCTCTCACACTCTTGCATCCATGTTTAAAGAGGACGTCGAGATGTGCAGGTCCTTCACGACTGCCAGCGGACAGACAGCGAGAGTCATGGTGCGTTTGGAGCTCGCTATCGTCTCCTCGTTAAACACAGGCGCGCATGCAGGAGGCCTGTCATTAGGATCTGCCTCGGCTTCCCGGTGGTTTGTTGTGGTCGTGAATCTGGCGATGAGGAACTCGTATCTGTGATGTTCTGGAGGAATCGAGAATTTCCCCTCGTAAAGCTGAACGCGCTCACGTCACCGTTTCATTTCCACAAATGTCTTACCTGAAGAAGAAGCCGGTTAGATCAGGCTTGAGAAAGCCAACCTACTGATCTACTGTTTAAGATTCTTCTTCTAAGACTAAATTTGGACTCTATCTCCTCCTAGAGTTTTGAAGCTACAACCCCCAAACTTGGGTCAGACCTTCAGACTCGTCTGACTCGGATAGCTATGTCTTTTCTAACTGATCGGACTTAGAATTTTCGTTAACCGGATGATCAAATCTATGAAAAGTCCCATCGACTTTCATTGAGGGGGTCAAGATTTTGTACAGTAAGACTTATACAGTGTGTAAGCTGTCTATATAACTAGCAAAGCTTAACGACTAGCCTGGGACAACATGTTAAAGCATGCTAGCAACATGTTAAAACATGATGGCAGTGTGCAATATCATGCTAGCTAGATGGAAAGTAACGAAGTACATTTACTTGATTAATGTACTTAAGTATACTTTTTAAGCATCTGTACATTACTTGAGTATTATTTTTTCTCCAAACTTATGACTTTTTAACTTTACTACATTTGAAAGACAAATATCGTACTTTTCACGTCACTACATTTCTATCAAGGTCCTCGAAGTAGAAAGTTGTTACAAAGTAGCAGCTTTTAAAGTTAGTGGGTGATTTTTTTCTTCTTCTCTAAAACGTGACTTTTTTTTTTTTTAGACAGCCTATAAGTAATCACTCTTGTAGAGCTACGTGAAGTGATTTCCCAGTATTTTTTGAACACTGACCTGTTGCAAATGTGATATTTATTTACAACAATTAACAACAATTAAGTTAATATTGTGGTATATATTAGACACAATATTGTCTGATTTTGCAAAATTGTGTAAATGAAAATATCACCTATAAAGCCACAGAAGAACTGTTGTGCATCACCTAACAAAACACAGTAGGTGTTTGACTTGAATCAGCACTGCGCAGACCGTTCTGTGTAGAGGTCGACTGATGTATCGGTTTTGCCGATTAATCGGCACCGATAGTTGATTGCTGGAACTATCGACGATCGGCAAAAATCCATGCCGATAGTTTACCAGGTTACGACCGTTTCTGGAGCGGCTGAGAAGGTTCGCTATCATTATACAGTGCGAGAGCGGCCTCTAGAGGCGGAGATCACTGACAGCACGTGTTGTTTGTTTTGACACGTGAGGCTGCGCGCCGCACAGAGCGGGAAACTTCAGACACGCATTTAAATGCAGCCGACAGAAAATCCTGCTGCGCCACAGAGCGTCATTCACATAGTTTTCCAATAAATTACATTATATTTGTCCCAAATCGTTGTCAATGTACATAATGTCTTCACCCTAGGCTGTGCATTTTTCAGCGAAACGTTTGTCTTTCTGTGGCTCTAATAAAGTCTGTATGCTTCATATAGAGAGCTGTAATATAGATCGCGCTTTCTCTTTCAGTTTACTCCGAACTTCAAACTCATCTATGCCACATTGTTCATTCTTGAAGTAAGTTTTTGCCCATCTGGTGATTAAATAAACCGTTTTAAACCATTGAATGCGACACGTCTGGTGTGAGTGATACGTCCTAGACGCAGCACTGCGCTTTTGTCCTGTGTGACTGCCATATTTTGTTATTTTGATTAGTGTTCTAGAATCGAAGCAGTTAATGTGTGAGAGTATACAGGTGCATCTCAATAAATTAGAATGTCGTGGAAAAGTTCATTTATTTCAGTAATTCAACTCAAATTGTGAACTTGTGTAATAAATAAATGCAATGCACAAAGACTGAAGTAGTTTAAGTCTTTGGTTCATTTAATTGTGATGATTTTGGCTCACATTTAACAAAAACCCACCAATTCACTATCTCAACAAATTAGAATACTTCATAAGACCAATAAAAAAAATTTTTTTAGTGAATTGTTGGCCTGCCTTCTGGAAAGTATGTTCATTTACTGTACATGTACTCAATACTTAGTAGGGGCTCCTTTTGCTTTAATTACTGCCACAATTCGGCGTGGCATGGAGGTGATCAGTTTGTGGCACTACTGAGGTGGTATGGAAGCCCAGGTTTCTTTGACAGTGGCCTTCAGCTCATCTGCATATTTTGGTCTCTTGTTTCTCATTTTCCTCTTGACAATACCCCATAGATTCTCTATGGGGTTCAGGTCTGGTGAGTTTGCTGGCCAGTCAAGCACACCAACACCATGGTCATTTATAATTTCAATGCTATGGCCTTTGTGTAGATATTTAAAAATAAGGATGACTGTTGAAATGAAATGGTAACACTTTTGTAACATTAAGATTAATGAAAGCTGTAGGAGTATTGTTCCTTGTTAGAGTGTGTTAATTTCAACATTTACTACTACTAATACATTTTTTAATTTTAAAGTTTCTTTTAACATTAGTTAATAAACTATGAACTAACTTGAATGATTAATATAATAATTAATATTTTTATTAATTTACAAAGTATGGTTCAGTTCTGTTTTTTTTTTTTTAAATAGTAAAGCACTAATTTAGTTTTCATTCAGTATCCATTTAAAAAAATATGATTGATTAATCGGTATCGGGCAGTGTAGTCCAACCTAGCTATCGGTATCGGTAAAATCCACTATCGGTCAACCTCTAGATCTGTGTATGACATCAAAGTATCGCGAGAGCAATTAGAGAGCATTTTTTAAGTTTTTGTTTTTAAGACAAAAAAAAATCTTGCTTTTTTTGTTAAAGCAGCATTGCTGTTTGCAGCTACAGACAGTTGTATTGCTGGGTTTTAAAGCAGGTTTGATTTTTTTTTCTTATCAGTCTGTATTTACAGCAGTTCCACTCAGTTCAAATGTGGATGAACACTGCCAGCGGTGGGTAGGGATGTTAAATAATTTTTTATTTTTTTTGGTCAACACATTTGTTTAGTTTCTATAGGTTTTTAACATTCTAAAAGCTCTTCATTCCAAAGATACTACAAGCTAGTCAGTGTATTCAGTAGGTGTAATGTATTGTACGTTGCTTCAAAGAGGCATAAGGTATTGCAAGTATTACATACAAAAATAATAAAACAGTGCATTGAAAAAAAAAGAAGAAGAAGGAATTTACTTTTGGTACTTAAGTACTTTTAAAAGCAACTACTTTCACTTGTAATGGAGTAATATTTGACCAGCAGTATCTGTACTTTCACTCAAGTAATAGAGTTGGGTACTTTGTCCACTTTAAAACACGCTAGCAACATGGTAATCATGATAGAAACGTATTAGCAACATGCTAACATCATGTTAATCATGCTAGCAACACGGTAATCATGCTAGAAACATGATAGAAACATGCTAATCATGCTAACAACATGCTTAGTCATGTTAAAAACGTTA